AAAAAAAAAAAAAAAAAAAAAAAAAAAAAAAAAGAAGTAAAAAAAAAACAAAAAACAAAACAAAAAAACAAAAAACAGCAAACAAAACGACAACAAAAAAAGGATCCATAAGATGGCTCAGTAGGGAAATGAGTCTGCTGCCCAGCAGGACAAGCTGAGTTTGATTCTCAGAACCCAGGAGGTAAAAAGAGAACCATTGGAAGTTGTCCTCTGACCTCCATAGTTACACATGTGCACTATAAATAAATGTAAATACATTAAAAAAGTGCAGACCATGTAGAAGGTAGTTTGGGGAAGCCAGATTGCTAGGGTTCAAAAGCGCCTCCACCAACAGTTGCCTAGCCGTGTGACTAGGTAGTTACTCTCTGCTCAGCCGTGTAATGGAAAATATCAACATGGCCCATTTGATAACGTAGAGGAGATTAAGTTAGTTGGTGGGCATCACAGATTTAAAATAGTACCTGGCATCCAGAAAGCACTCATTGGGAGTTGGGGAGACTTGAGCATCACACACATCTGCTTGGGTTCAACCTTGCTGCGCTGTTTGGTTATCAGCCTTGGGAGTTGGATTGTTAACTGCAAAAGATAAGAGGTGTTACTTGCCTGTGATAACCCTCAGACAGTTTCCAGCATACTTTTCCCCCTTCAAATCCGCACTGTTGGGACCATAACCACTTGGCCAAGCCCTCAGCCCTCACCATTCCTATTTAAGACATTGTGGGGTGGGGTGCATGATACTCTTGAGTTCTGTCCGAAGCACTACATAAAACCCAGGCATAAGGCCAGCAAGATGGTTCCCGGGGCTCGCCTCAGAGCCTGAACAGCTGAATTCTATCCCTGGGACTCATTTGGCAGAGGAGAACTGGCACCTGCAATTTGGGCTTTGACCTCTGGATGCATACCCTGGCAACTGGTACCATGTATGCCCCCCCTAAGTAAACAAATATAGTAGTAATCAGAAGAAAATAGGCAGAGTAGTAACACTCTAGAGGTGGAAGGTACATAGAAGTTTGAGGCCAGTTTGGGATACATGAGACTGTATCTTGTTTAAAAATGGCAGCCTTTAGATGGTGGGAGTTGTGGCTCAGTGGTAGAGCTCCACCTTCTACTTAGCTCGAATTGGGTCCTGGGATCTATCCCAGTGCTAGAAGGTGGAGGGGAGGGATACAGGGGGAGGTCATGTGACTCCCACCATTCCGTGGTCTGGCTAGCTGCTGCCCTGCTGATAGAACCATCTCAGAAGACAGAAGCCGCTGTTACATAAAGAAAGCCAGTCCTTCTCCCCCAGGGAGATGCAGATGTCTAGGGGTGTGGTGGCGCACGCCTTTAATCCCAGCACTCAGCGGACAGAGGCAGGTGGATCTCTGTGAGTTTGAGGCCAGCCTGGTCTACATAGAGAGTCCTAGGACAGCCAGAGACTCTGTCTCAGAAAGAAAGAAAGAAAGAAAGAAAGAAAGAAAGAAAGAAAGAAAGAAAGAAACAAACAAACAAACAAACAAACAAACAAACAAACAAACAAACGATAAACCAAAGTTGAGGGTCAGATGGAGGAAGCAGGTATGACTCCATGAACCTCCCACTGTACTACAAGTTAGATAATTTTGCGGGGACCACCCCATGCACCTCATCCAATTGTCCAGGATGTACTCTCATAGGATATATTGAATGGTAGATGTCTTGAGAGCCCAAGGAAAGACAAAGAAGTTTGTTTAAAGGGATACTTTGCTCTATGCTAGAAAACACCTTGCCTAATGTTAGGCTTTGAAGGCTGTAATATCTGCTCTTGACATTGTGGTGTTCCTGCCATATAATTTAATTAACGTGTGATGCAGGCACCGGGCCAGAGTCAAACGTTCTGACAGCTCTTGGGAGCCGCCTAAATCCTTTTGAAGTCCCTCCCGACACCCCAGTAGCATAGACGAAGCCCCTAAGGTTCAAGACAGCCCCTAATAAGGGGTGCAGAATTTTATCAGCATTTCCAACATCTGCAATTTCCCTGAATTTTTTTTTCCTCTAAGAAATGTTTTGCTGTAGCTGGGTGAGGTGGCATGTACCTACCTATAGTCCAAACTATTGGAGAAACTGAAGGAGGATCACTTGAGTCTACAAATTGAATGCTAATATGGTGATGTATGATGTACCTACCCTTAAGTCAGTCTGTCTGTCTGTCTGTCTCTCTCTGTGTGTGTGTCTGTGTGTGGGTGTGGGGTGGGGTGTGTCTTTCTCTGACAGAGCCTCACCATTTATTATGGTTTGGATTGGTCTTGAACTTGCTATGTAACCTCGGTCGGCCTAGAATTCTTTGACATCCTCTTGCCCTGGTCTCCCAAGTGTTGGTATTATAGACATGCACCACCACATCTGGATCCACATCTGGAGAGATCACAGCCCTTTTTTAAAAACAAATGCTGCCGGGCGGTGGTGGCGCACGCCTTTAATCCCAGCACTCGGGAGGCAGAAGCAGGTGGATCTCTGTGAGTTCGAGGCCAGCCTGGTCTACAAAGTGAG